AAAACATAATTTAGAGTAGAGTATTTTTTATATATTCACTATACATATTCTTCGATGTTATTGTAAATAAGATTGTTTTTATGATATATTGTCAAAAAAGTTTAAATAAAAATTAATTCTGAAATATAAAAATTGGTACGTATTATTGGATATAGTGAAGCTAGTGGCAAAACACGAATTATTTGTGTGGCATTTTATCGTCGTCCTTGTTTTCTTAAAATTGGCAGAGTATGTAATCGGGGATGTTATCTCTGAGAGATTTTAAGTTTATCGAGATTCCCCTATCCGTGTTCCTTGTAAAAATTGTGATTAGTTGACTTATTCTACTACAATTATTGTGTAAAATTTATTCTAGAAAAGATTGAAGACCGAATCATTATTATCGGAAAAAGCTAGAGAAGCTGGCTCAGAGTAGAACTGAAGTGAAAGAGGCATATAATAAAGGTGTAGCCTAGTTTGTATTTGTCCTAGAATTATCACATCCAAGTTTTTTTCTAGAACGTGGGCTAGGATGGAAAAAAATATACCTGCTGGAAATTTCAAGCTGAACAAAAGGTTGTCCTAGTAAAATCTCGATCTTTTTACCTTTTTTTTTTTTTTTTTAATCTATAAGTATGCATACTATATATTATATGCATATAGAATATATACAGTATATACAAAGTATATACATAGCATGAAAACCTTTTGTCAGCGAGAATAATTCACATTATATATTATATGCATGGTATAAATACTGTATATCAGAGTAGATAAACTTTATTTTTCCTAGATTATTACTTTTTACCAGGACAACAAGAACCAATATATAATAAATACAAAATAACAAGATAATAAAAAGGATTTTAAATCTTTCTTTTATGTCGAGTCAATCATAATAATTATTATTTTTTTTTTTTACCAGAACGAAACTAGGACGGATTTTTTATTAGGACGTGAGCAGATTTAGTTTAACTGTATTCTTGGATAGTGAACATAAGAGATTACATTTGATATCATTTTTGATAGTATAACCGAACAATAGTAACGTACTCAATAGTATTTTTTGATAGCGTAACCTGATAGCATACACATGATAGAATTTATGTATTCGAGGTTAATTGCCATGGCGTTAGATTGGACAATATGTGAACCAGCATATCAAGTCCATAATTCGTTGTACAAATTTACGAAATAAAAGTATGACAGCCCGCAAGCGTTTATTTGCTTTGTGCGTACAAACAAACTATGCATTTTCTTTTACTTACATACATATATATATTATCTTTAATCTGTCAAACTGATGGAGGAATCTCTGATTGAAACTGGGTTACCAGTGGCTAAAGTTTGTGTCATTAAAGCATTATGTGCAATACCAATTGCTGGAGATACCTTAGCCGATATCGCTCAAGATATTATAAATATAGTAGAAACTTCCAAACATAATAAAGAGAATTGCAAATATATTCTAACCGAGTACAAGTAAATATAGAAATTATAATTAAAAATTGACCACAAGGTGATTCAGAGAAGTCATTAAAAGCTTATAAAAATATAGTAATTGAAAAAAATCATGTAATGAAATAAGTCAAAGGACTTGGTACTTAAAATTGGAAAAGCAAACAATGTATGTTCTGTATAAGCGTTAATAAAATTTATTTTAATGAAATCAAGGAATTTGATATTTTCTATTTAAGGTTAAAGTCAAGAATGAAGAATTGCTGAAAAAACTGGAAGATGTCACAAAATATTAAATAATAGTGCGATATTTGTTATCAATATTATAACAAATGACATCAAAAGTATAGCGCATGATATAGGACATGATGCTAAGGATATTAAGGCATTAATTATTCAGCAGGCAGAATTATTATCTAAAAAAAGCTTGGAGAACAGAAACCTCTAGATGATAATCTTGAAATAAAACAATTGCAAGGATTCAAAATAGGTAATTTGACATACTACATTAATCTGTGGTGAAAATATCAGCTTAATGACAAACAAACTTTTTATTTACTTAATAAAACCAATAACTTTTTAGAAAATCGAACAAAGAAGTTCTTTTACTTATTGGAGATGTTGGAGCTGAAAAATCTACGTTTACTCAAAAACTTACACACTTGTCATGAAAGTATAAAAATAGAGAAGATATAAATGAAGAAAAGCTTATTCTCTTGTTTATCTCTCTGCAAATTACAAAAGATCCAATTAACAACCTTTTCATCGAATACTTTAAAGATAAAGAAGGATTTTTAGAAGAGAATATTGGAATTTTTAAAGAATGCCATTTTTATTTTTATTTTTAAATGGCTATGATTAAATAAATAAGGATTGAAATATTTGCATTACAAATAATCTCTAAGAATGATAAGCAAAAGTTATCATAAGTTACTGTACTGAATATTTAAATTCTGGATATAAAGATAGATTTTGTCCACACAGCTTCAAGAGTTTATAGTTGCCCCATTTTCCACTAATCAAATTAACAAATATATTTGGAAATACATTGGGGCAAATGAGTCAAAAGCTATATGGTACTATAAGGCTATAAAAAGATAACAAACTAATGCATAACAAGTGATAGTAAGGTATTCCGAAGATGAAAATTTAATACCCGAAAATCATGGGTCCTAACCTCTTCGCCCTCAAAAATTGTGCTGTCGCTTTTTTTTTTTGCCTTCAAATAATTACACAAACACAGTGGCAGTCAAAAGTATTGCATCACTGGATTACAAAATTTAAAATAGCAATATATCACAATATAAAATTTGTAGTGTCACGAAATACTTTGATGTGATTCAACATATGTAGGGATATAAATTTTTTCGCATAACAGTAAAAAAATTTTTTTTTATTTTTTATTGCAGGTCATTCGTTCAGTGCATTTTTTTTTTACCATCCTCTTTTTTTTCACCTTTTACATCTCAAATATAAAGAAAAAATAAATTGAACATAAAAAAACTTAATAAATCATCAATTATTATCTCGTATAGCCTCATTCACCTTAATTACATCATTTATACGAGTTGGTATACTGGTAATTAAATCACACATAAATCTTCTTTGAGTTTAATCAAATCTTTTGAATGATTTCTCATAATTGATCTTGTGTTCTAACAGGAGTTTCTAAACACCTTAAATGGTGATCTATTTTGTTTCACAAATGATCAATTGGGTTTAATTCAGGAGACTGAGTTGAGTTGGTCAATTGAGAATATTAATACCCTTCTCTTCAAACCATTGTTTTGTCATATGAGTGATGGGTTTTAATCATTATCCTAATGGAAAATGGTCTTTTTTTTATCCATTCTATTTCCTGACAGTTTTCAAAAGATCTTCCTCCAATATTTGTTTATGTAAAGCACTATCCATAATTCCATATATACGACATATATTGTCAACACTATCAGATGAAAAATGTCTTAACACCATAATCTTGTTACCCTATATTTGAATATAAGCTTAATATGATGATCATACAATGATTTCTTTGACAATATTCATAACTATCTGAATCAAAAATCAAAAATTTAGATTTATCAGACCAGATAGCCCTATTCCAGTCTTCTACTATTCAAGATTTACAAATTTAAAATAAGCATATCTTTATCTTTTTTTCAGGTACATAACTTGTGCACCCAACCTATTTTTAAATAAAGTTTTCTTTACTGTACTTTTGCTAACTTCAATTTTTCTTCATTTTTTAATTTTTTTTTTAGATAGCAGCTGCATTAGTGCATTCACCTGTTGTAATAAATTGCAACATCTTTTGTTCATAATAATCAGTAAGAAATTTTGAACATTCCTATTTTGATTTGTCTTGAAAAGTACCAGATCGATAATTAGATTGTCTGATTATTATGATTGTAGATTGTAATACATTTTTGCAAGAAGCTATGACTCATGAAGGATATCCTTCTTCAAAGAGAGCACAAATCTGGATTCTTTTTGGGGGTGATAAGCAAACGATTATGATTAAAAATTTGAGTAGAGATGATGCAAGTCACAAGATATTGTTTTTATATAGCTTATAGGTTTTTTGAAACGCGTTAAAACGCCTACTAGATGCTAATATTTATTTATTAAAAACGGTAAAAAAAAAATGCATCGCTATTTTCAAAAAATTGCACGTCCAGCATGAGAGTTTTTTTAGAAGACAAAAAAAAAGTACACTTATATTATACTGTATTATGATGAGCTCAATTTGGAAATTTTGTGTCATTTTAACATCTAGATCACAAAATATCGCCATTTTAAAATTTTGTATTCAGGTGATGCAATACTTTCGACCGCCACTGTAAGTCATGACATTTTTACGAATCTTCCTCGCATTTAGCAATTTCCTGACGATGTTTTACAGACGTGCGTATTCGCCTTGAGCACGTTTAATTTTGGCGAATCATGCCGGCTATAATTTCATCATAGCGAGTATATAGTGTTTATAAAGAAAATAAACGATAAATAAGTTTTCATATCGTTATCTAAAATGTTTCTCTCGATAAAATTGCAAGTTACTTTATCTGATCATACTTTATTATTCCACCAAATTTGTAGAAAATTTCGGAGATGTATTTTTTTAATGCAAGAACCTTTTCAAAAGGTTTAAACAGGGTTATCTCGGCACAAATTTGGCAAAATATTTTTACAAATTATTCAACAAACACTTCGAATTCCAAATTAAAGAATCGTTCCAACTTTAGAATCATTGAATAAAATACGAATACTCCAGTTTTGTTAATAATTATTTTTATTTTTTGTTTTAATAATAATGATGCAAACACTGAATAAGTCTATTTGATGTCTTAATATAATTTCAAAGTTTATTATTAACAACATATTGTCACGGAAATCTGCATTATATGATAGAAAAATGTAAACTACATTTATTCTGGCACCGACGTATAAATTGTCGATGAATAATGTGTTTAAAAATAAATGACAATTGTTTATTGATAAAATACATACATGTCAATATAAATAAATTCACACAAAAAATCCAAGTAAATTATGAATAAAGAGCCTTATGTATCTTCGGCGCTTTTAAATTTAATCTTAAATACTTCGTAATCAACGATTGGAAATGCCCCAATTGCTTCTCTAATACTTGTTTCATAAGAACTGGGTCCTTGACAAAAACATTTCTTTACACTCATATATAGATCTTTACATCCAAAATATGGACCAAAATCATATTGATGTAAAACATCTACATTGAGGATAGCCTCATTGGGTTTATTCACTCGACTAAGAGTTGAATTTTGTATGTTGCCATTTTTTAACGAAAATATAAAACTATTATTTGTTACTGCCCAAGTTGTTATGTTCGCAGTTTTATCCCATGCTAAAGGGTTATATCCACCAAGAATTTCATCTGTCCCTTGCACTTTTAGAACCACAATTGTCTTCGAATGACCATGACACATATTCCAAAAAGTTTGATGATTAAATCCATCACGACTTCCTCTTAAGATTAAATCGAACTCGTACGGGATATTAATAATTGGATAGGGTTGGTTTTTATGATCAATCCATGCAGAAACCTCCGCAGTATGTTCGCGACTAATGATAGTTGAAAAGATTTCGTCCACTCGTTTTGGAAGCTCCGTGCTAATTAAAGATCTTGCAGGTAAGATAACTGAAGTTATAGGTTCTCCGGGAAGTATCATATGTTGCTTTATATCATTCCAGAGCTTCTTATCAAGAATTTTTTTATAAGGTTTGACATTTTTCCATAAATCTTCGTTAGAAAGTTGAAAGTAACGGATATGCGGTAAACAATTTTGTAGAGTCGTCTTTAACGTTAAAAAGTTTTCTTTTGTCCACACTTTGAGACTTTGAGGTAAAGTATTGTGCTGAGCAATTCCCCACTGAATAACCTTTTGCCAAATATTCACTTCTTCCATTTGCAAGTCGTCTCTCCTAATAATAGAAATTAGAGCTAATTCATTAAGTCTGGTAAAATCTTCACTGCCGAATATAATATTAGGATGTCTTGATATAATATCATTGTAGAATTTCTCCAAACTTTTAAAACGTTGGTTTTTAAAGATCGAATGATATACATATGAGAAATGCGTACGCAACCAAGGTGCTTTTTTTTCAATGAGATAGTTTTCTAGTAGAGGAAATAGCTCTTCAAACTCTAGTTCACTAGCAAATATCATCAAGTCGAATATAAATTTATTATCCATATTTTTTAAATTAATAATCCCACCGTACACATATCTAGAAAAAAAAAACAACGATAGATAAAAATCGATAATTAGAAGGTTATATTGCATATAGGACAAATAACGTCTATACTTACTTAAGGACTATTTCTGTGAGCTCAGCAGAGATTTCCGGTTTTACAATATTTATAACACGATTATTTTTCGCATAAATATTTCCGGCATGATTTCTATCCGTGTCAACCTTTGCTAACTCTTTACGAAAGTATGTTGATCGATATCGTAATATCAACGAATGTGCTGTAAACGATCTTTTATTTAATTCTTTATCAACTTCAATAATAACGTCATGACTTTCTTTATCATCAAAAAGATCGGTAAAGTCTTTAGATAACTTATTTAAAAATTTCAGAATCATTTTTTACGAACAAGTTAGTGCGTAGATTACATATTTTATTATATATTACGTAACAATGACACAAATCCATAGATGAATTAAATTGGTTAAATGCGGAATTTTACGTATCCGCGGGAAACTACGTGCAGTATTCAGGATCACACGCTAAACTGAAACGATATACTGTACTTCTATTAACCCCTAAGCTTAAAATCAAGAAAGGACGCCTGAATATTCATAGCTTTTTTAGACCAAACGTGTCTTCCCTCGTTCTTTCGTAATCCTCTGTAGATGCTGTACCGACCAGCGCCTTCGCCCTGGACGCGCGTTTAATTTGGCGAAGCATGTCGGCCGTAGTCTTACCATGACAAGTCTACACATAAATAAGATATTTTCGGTATATAGTAAAAAAAACAAAGAAAAGAATGACACGAAAAATAATTTTTCACCTCTTTGTCCAAGAATCCATATCGAAGACTCTGAAGAAGATGAAGCACAAGTCCAAAAGGCTCGCAATACAGAAAGATATATTTATCACAACAATATATACAAAAACAATTGAAGAAATTATTACAGGTACTCTAAACATCCTTAACATTTTTTTAAATATACTGATAGAGCCTAGACATGTTAGTTCCTTTCATTAGGTACAACAAGTCACAAGGGGTTATAAAATCGAGCCCCACCGCCAATGGCGGTAGGTGCCCATTACCAATTGGTTTTATTGTTTTGTTCAAAATTGAAAATAGTTTACATAATCTCTCTGTAAATAAATGTAAATGTACTGCATATAATCAATAAAATAGGCATGTTAAGTATTTTATAAAAAAAAAAAAAAAATGCAAATTAATAATAACTTATTATAATTTGTTCTAGGTAGATTTACTTAAAACCTCATCTCTCAAAAAGTGAATACATACAATATATCCAAGGGTTAGATAATTAACATACAATTATCAATAATGTAATTAGTATACTAATCTAAAATTTGTATAATTTTTGTATTAAATATAGTACTATATATAGCTTATATATTGACCTATGAGTCAATAGTGCAGTGGTTAGCACTTCATAGGTCAGATCACAAGATCCAAGTTCAATTCTACCCAAATACAAGACTGATACAAGGAATTGAATCCATCCATTAGCATAACTGTAAACTAACTGGTGTTTCTAATATAGCATCTGGTCTATATCTATATTGTTATTAGATTGTAATTCGAATTAGATAGAATTATTACTGACACAACTATATTACCAGAAATGATAGCAAGAAGAGTAGATCTCCAAACTGGTAGCATGCCTCTCAGGACCAAAACAAGAAACACAACTCATTTGGGACACAAATAACTTAACACGAACTCATGTGCAAGAAAAAGGACTCTTCTATAATAAACCAGTCCTGATTCTCATGTATGTGGCGAAGCCAGTTTCATAGACTTGACTATTGGGAGGTCTTGGTGGAAGAAGAAATCCATGGATTACTCTGAAGGATAAAAAAAAAACTGGGATTTAGGATACTGAATTTGATGACCTGATAACTAGAATACTTTTAATAAAAAATTGTTCTAGAAATAATTAAGACAGAATTATACAGCCTTTCAGTTTAGGGATGGACTGGTAGTAGTGATACATAGCATTGGTTTAAATATATATATAGCTATCCATATAGATATGATTTACTATAAAAAAAAAAACTCTTTCCCGCAAATCCTTTTTTTCTTAAAAATTTTCTTTTTAGACAATTTTGGGAAACAAGAAGAAAAGTGAACGGAAATATAAATTCTCCTAGAGACTGAAGGAGCCAATATACCCAGGGCAGATTCAACTACAATGAGAACACCCTGACGAAAGATAACACAAGATTGCTATACAAAGAATCCATATGGAGACAACAAAGTCGAATCCAAAAAACAAAGGAAAAGAGAAAGAAATCCATCCAGAAAATGTTAAAAATGAACAACCAAGCAATCAGAACATCAGTTGGACCTCAATCACTGACACAGAAACCATTAGAGAAAAAAAAATCAATCAGAAACAATCAACTTGAAGTGATGAAGTGGAAGGAACAATCACATAAGATTCTCAAACTGTGAATAGTGACAAAAATAGAAATACTCAAGAAACTGAACAAGGCGAAGACTCTTCTGTCCCACTCACAGTGACAAGAATAGATGATTCAGATATAGAAATGGAGGAATCAAGTAGTAGCAACCAGACAAGCCCCGAACCCAATAGGCAATAGCACGAAGTCTCATACAAAAACATATCAGTCAGTAGAGTTGGCAAACCCAGACCGAGATCACTGATCGATCCAACAACAAGATTTGGCAGAGAAAGAGTTAAAATAGGCATCAGAGCATCAGAAGTCCCAGGAAGAACTATCAACCAGAAGACTGAACACATCAAAAAGAGCTTGAATATGCTCACTGGCCTCCTTTCTACCCGCAGTGAAGGAAAAGGAGAAGAGGAACACATCTTTGCCATTTTCAGTGATCATCATATTGCAGAAGAAGTATGCAATACTATCTTACTAGAAACAGATGGGACTCATCTGGAACACATGGCTTTCACATCCCCTAGGCCAAATAAAGAAAACAGTATCAGAGTATGAGACATTCCCTTTGACATAAAATTTATAGAGATACAATAAACCTTTGCCAAATTTGGAGAAATTACAAATATCGACATGTCCACACAACAAATGTGACAATCTGCAGTTATCACCTATGCAGACAAACAAGTAAAAGAAGATATAGTTGTCAAATGGAGTATTCTTCTATGATCAGACTCAGTCAGGATTTTTGACGCACAATGGGACATGGACCAAATGAAGGCACATGGAAATACAGCAACCAAATTAATAAACCTTCCACTCAACATCATGGCCTTTGACCTCAGATTCATCTGTGAACAAACTGAAGCTAAGACATGTTACATCCCCAGGCACATGTTATACAGATGCAAGTGATTTGCAATTATTGGTTTTACGAATCAAGAAAATCTGGAAGCAACCACAACACAGAATGTCTCCTTGAAGAAACTCAAGCAGAATGGAAACCAATTGACACAAAACTATGCATTATCTGTGGAAGTGCAACACACCTAGTTGCTCAATGCCCGATTAAAGAAAGAAGAACACATTGGAACCAGTACAATGCAGAACAAGCCAATAAATTTGGCAAACTGTACAATAGATTCAGGCCAGCACATACTGAAACTATAAGGTGTAGAGTAACCACACATAACAACCAAAGAAAAGCCAGGCCAGGCTCCTATGCAACAGCAGCAAGACTATCAAAAGAAGAAGGAACACAGATCCAATCCCTCAAACAGCTATGGCAGAAGTACTTCACATTCTCAAAACAATCAGGAAAGAGATCCAAGAGATAAAACAAGACATAGCTGATCTAGAGAAACGTATCGTCAACTTAGAAATATATGATAAGGACTATACAAAGCAAATGGATAAAGATACTTTCCTCCTCGACATAGAAGAAAGTCAAGCAACAGACACAACACTCCAACACAGCACCCAAGACATCTGTACTCAACAACAACACATTCAGTCATCTATGCAGAAGTTAGACAAACACATGGATCAAATGTATAATACTGTACTCAATTCTATCTCAGGTAGCACACACTCCCCTCCCACATAGACAATAATGGGTAGCAACTAGAGCACCAAATCAACAGAAGAATTAGACAATTCTAAAGACATCCAGACAATAAATTCTTATAACACAGTAGAACAACAAATGGAAACAACAGACAACCACGCAATAATTTCAGATCACAATCCAAATACAAACAACACAATATCCAATACAACGGTATCTATAACAATACACAGAGAACACAAACCAATATTAAAAGTCATAACATTCAATATTCAAGGCTTAGTAAAAATACACAAATGAGAAACATGGTTTAATTTCTGCAATGCAGCAGACTGGGACATCATAGTTACTACAGAGACAAATGGCTCACACCAACAATCAAAATACTGGCAACACAAAAAATTTCAAACCATATGGATCCACAAAGAATCACAAAATAGTGGACAAGGCCTAAACATCATGATCAACAAAAACATTGCATATAGAATCTACAACTACAAAACACTCGTGAGTAGACTGATAGCAGCTGACCTGGCCTTCTCACATAAAGAGAAAATGAGAATAATCGGTGTATACTTCTCTGTACAAGACATGGAAGGAGAGAAATAAATGATACTCAACATTCTCAATAAGTGGATCAAAGAAGTGACAGAAAGGAATGGCACCTAATGGTAGCAGGAGACATGAATGGGGTCCCCAACCCAGCAATCGAC